CACGACCATCATAGAAGTAGAGGATAAGATCTTGTTCCGAATACCCCTGATATGGGCAACTAGCACATAATTTTTTAAAGCGCTCCCAATATTCGTACAAGGTCTCATTATCTGCTTTCTCAATGTTGCTGATTTGCTTCTTGAGACTTGAAGAGATAGATGCGGGATAGTACCTGTCAATGAAACTCTTTTTCATTTGAGCCCATGTATTGATGCTCCCCGAGGGAAGATAAAATAGCCAATCTTTGGCGGCATCTTTGAGGGAGAATGGGAAGGCTCTCAGCTTGATTTGCTCTTCGGACACGCCATTGGGGCACATGCTTGTGCACACAATATGAAACTCCGACAAGTGTTTGTTCGGATCTTCCCCTCGTAGACCATGGAAAGAGGGAAGTAGATGAATGAGCCCAGATTTTAGCTCGAATGCGACCCCCGTATCAAGAGTTGGAAAAGTGATACATAAGGGTTGTTGATTTAGATTCGGAGCCATGAGCTCCTGATGCACACTAATTAATAGTGCATAATTATATGTTTTTTTGTTTGATTTATGTTGATTGTTTGACGTTTTATTTAGTTTGTAAACATTTATGTGATTTCAGTTGTAATTGTATTTGATTCTTTATTTATAAGTTGTAAAGTATAGTTAGGATTTGTGGTGTTGGAAAGGAAGACTTTGAAGAGAAGAAAACAAGAAATTTGTCTGCCCATGAGTGAAACCCGACCGGGTAGAAACCCCCACCCGGTCGGGTATGATTTAACAGACGAAATTGCCAAGAAAGTCACTGGACCCGGTCGGGTCCCCTACTTGACCCGGTCGGGTCAGATGTGACCCGGGACAAAACGACGTGCGAAGATCACCAGAACGTGGTGGATTATCTGATTTTGACCGGACCCGGTCGGGTAAGTACTTGACCCGGTCGGGTACCCGGCCAAAGGTGTTGAAAAACACCTATAAATAGCACACTTTTTTTTCTCTAAAAATCATTCCTTCTTCCATACTCTTAAGCTCAGTTTAGAATAGCATTTCTTTATATTTTTCTATCTATGTTTAGTCTCCAAATGAGGAGCTAAACTTCCATTTCTTGGTTTTGCTCTTGAAGCTTGTTGATTATTAAAGTTGTGAGTTATTTTCTTAACTTCTTCTCTTGATTATTAATTCTTCCCTTAATCTCATTCTATATTGATGTTGGAGGGTGGCTAAGTGACGATTAGTTAACGTTCCGACATTAATTACTACTAGAAACGATCAACGAAACGATGGTTAATCGTTGGTGGTTTCACAAGTAAGTAACTGCGGTTTATTAATGCACGGTCGTGGTTAATAAACTTAAGAGGGATCAATTTTGTTGGTTAAACCGAGACCGTTGTGTTAAGATTATCAATCTTAATTGATTTCATCAAGGAGTTAAAAGATTGAATGCTACTATTATATCGGTATACGGCGTTGTTCTATATTTGATTAATAGTAAGGGTTGTTAACGAACGGTCGTTGTTAATAACTACCCTCGATGAATTGGAGATACTCCTCGATTGAGTATTCGAGGGGGGATAAGTTATAGATATGAAAAGGATCAATTAAAATATATCAACAAGTGGAAAGTAGCAAAGCCAAGTTCCTTTTATTCTTGAATTAAACGCATATAGGTTGTTCATTTTAGTTTCTTAATTAAATTAAATCATTCAAAACCAAACCGCCCCTTTTTAATTACTAGTTTCATAAAAAGAGAATCATTCCTTTCCCTGTGGATACGAACTCTACTACGCTATACTATGTATAAGTGTTTAGTATTGAATTTATTTTGACGCACCGTGACAAATTGCTCGTCAGCTCCCTCAACGTTCTTGTCTCAAGAGCCATAGTGATTGGCTCTTCGGTGTCGCTAGAATGAGAACTAGCACTTGATGATTCCTCCGAAGAAGTATTCGGAAATAAATTCCTAAACCTCTCGAAGGCTTGTTCTGTTTCGGGCTTTGTTTGGTAGGTGATTTGGTTTATAGATCGGTGTTTAACCATATACTCAAAGCTCATAAATAGAAAAATGAGAACTCTTTATATTTTTATTTAATATTTTTTTTCTTGAAATACAATAAAAGAAAAATAATTTCCTTTCCCCGGCAACGGCGCCAAATTTGACGTGCCCTTGTCGTGAGGTGCACTCAAAATAATTACAATACAACGATTATACGTAGTATAACGAAGTAAGGTTCGTATCCACAGGGAAAGGAATACTTTTCTTTTATATAATGAGTAACAAAGGGGGAGGTTTTGATGTTTGATTTAATTTAATTTAATTAACACTAAGATGAACGACTTATGTGGTTTAATTAATAGATATGGAGGCTTGGTTTTGCTTTTATCCACTTAATGAAATGTTTGTCGATCCCGGTTATATCTTTAACTATCTTCCTCTCGAATAATCAATCAAGGAGTATATCCAGTTTATCGAAGGTAGTTATTAATAACGAGATGCGTTCATTAATAAAACTAACTATCGAGTCAATATAGAACAAGCGATGTATATTAACTTGATAGTAGCAATAAACTTAAGATGAAAACGATTGAGATTGATAACCTCAACACAAGTGGTTTATTGGTTTAATCAATATAATTAATTCCCCTTGGCATATTAACCATGAGATGCATGCATTAATAATCCAAGTTTACTACTGTTGAAAGAACCGGATTAATAACAAGCGTATTAACCGATTGATTCTAGTAATAATTAATATGAGAAACAAAACTAGTTGATACTTTAAGTGATGTTCAAAATATTAACATGAAATATGAATAAGAATTAATTAATACTCAAGGAAGAATATTAAAGAATATGAATCCTACTATGATTAATATCAAGATGTTAACTAATTGTCATTTTAGTAACACTCCCCAATATTAACATAGAGGAAGAAATAACTATTACTATAACCAATGTCAAGATGTTAATTAATTGTAATCTTAGTAACACTCCCCAACTTTGATATAGAAATAGTATTTTAAAGGAAGAATTAAGATTCAAGGAAGAAGATTAAAGAAAATAACTCACAACTTACAAATTCATTAAGCTTCAAAGTAGCAAAATCAAGATGGAAGAGTTTAGCTCCTTATTTGGAGACTAAACATGATGAAAAATATAAATAAAGAACTATTCTAGACTGAGCTTAGATGTATAAAGGAATTGGATATCTAAAAGTGAAGGAAAATAGGGTTATTTATAGGTGTTTTCAAGACCTATAGCCAGATACCCGGCCGGGTATTTTGACATACCCGACCGGGTATTTACCAAATCAAATATTTTCTCATGTTTTTGTGTCTTCTGCACGTTCTTTGGTCCGAAATCACTTCATACCCGGCCGGGTATATGGAATACCCGATCGGGTATTTGCTAGTTTTGCAGCAGTTTCCTTTGTCACTTCATACCCGGCCAGGTAAAGTCCATACCCGACCGAGTTTTGCATAAAACTCAGGTTTTTCCATCCTTCTTGCATCCAAACATATCCTAAACTTATAGTTCAACTAACTACAACTTACAACAAACAATAAAATGCTAAAAATACGATTACAATCAAATGCAAACTAACAACTACAAACTTGCATAATACTGGTAAATAAATATTACAAATGATAATAAAAATGTACACTTAGGCACTAACAACTAGTGCCTATCACCAAGGTGGGGGAAACTCTATATCTCTATCTTGGCGTTAGCCCTGGTGTCATCAGCTCAGTCCTCATCCGAGAAGAAGACAACATCCAACATGCCATCTTCTACGTTAGCAAACCCCTCAGGGAAGCAGAACTCAAGTACTCTCCCGTGGAGAAGACGGTGCTAGCCATCGTTTGGACCGTCAAAAAGCTAAGCCACTACTTCCAGGCGCATCCGGTACAGGTCATCACACACCAACCCCTCGGCGCTTTGATGAGGAGCCCCACCAGCTTCTCCCGAATGGTAAAATGGGTCATCTTCCTTAGCCAATACAACATTGACATCCGCCTGAGGCCTGCCATAAAGAACCAAGTCCTGGCGAATTTCGTGACGGAGTGCACGACGAGATCGGCGGTAGACGAAGAGCCCCCGGCACCTCTGAACGAATGGTGGACTCTATATACATACGGTTCCTCGACCGCCAAAGCATGCGGGGGAGGCGTCGTCCTCATCACACCTGAGGGCTTACGCGCCTACTACGCCATTCGCTTCTCCTTCAAAGTTTTCAACAACGAAGCGGAGTATGAGGCCCTCCTCTGTGGCCTTCGGCTGGCAGCAAACATGAAGGCCAGACACATCCAGATAATGATTTTTACTCGATAATCAGGGTTGAATTGAGAGATGCTATGGTGTTATGCAGGGATTACAATTTACTTGGGAGTTTTGATACAGCCAGCTACGAATGCAGCTTGACTCGCAGGCAGCGATTCAACTTTTGACGGCGGAAGGTGAGCGCACACACTTGTACTCTTCTAAGATCGTTCAGGTCGAAATTGAATGATCAAAGTTGAGCATATTTACCGAGAAGACAACCAGATCACAAACTTTGAAAAAATTCCACTTTTGGTCCCGTGATTATTATACCACTTCCACATTTAGTCCCTTACTTTCAGATTGTTCACATTTAGTCCGTGACCATTATCCCCTCAATTTCCACTTTTGGTCCGGCAAATTTAATGCAGATTTTAGGTATGAAAAACCAAATTTAATGCAAAGACTGATATGAAAAACTCAACCTTATATAAAATTTAATGCAAAGACTGATTCTGAGGTTGATAAGTGAACTAAATTTGCCGGAATTTTGGGCAGAAGAACGAGGGGTGGTGAGGGGATAATGATCATGGACTAAATGTGGACAATCTGAAAGTAAGAGACTAAATGTGGAAGTGGTATAATAGTGGACCAAAAGTGGAATTTTTTCCACAAACTTTTTAGCTGGTTTAGACTTGCTCAACGTTACACGTTCTGTACACTTACTTTGGGTTTCCTAGCCTTACTTATCATTAATGATGAAAGGTAGGAACTAATCCTGCTATAATTTTACCACAAAATGCTAATGAATCTAATGAAATTAGTTTAGACCAATAGATCAAACCGAACCGATTGCTTTCTTTTGGTTTTCAAGGATCTTCAGGCAAAACCGATTCTTCTCACTCGTTAGTCTGTTGTTTTTAAAACTCGTGTAATCGTAATTTTCTTTCCGTCCGAATGTTACGATCCTTCTGGTATAATATAGAATTGAATTCTATGACAGTCACGTATAGGATTCTAATGTTTGATGTGTTTATCTATATTATTATTGTGATTTAAAGGTTTGCTGAATCCTCGAAGTAGACAGAGTTGTCTCGGCAAACAGGCGCTGGAGAATGGAGGATGCACTTGTCCTTATACTTTCGATGTTCCTTGTTTTGGCCTTAATACCGTTGTATTTATGGAAACTCCGGAAGAGCTCTCAAATTCCAGAGGAGCCTGAAGAAGAAACTCTGGTAATTTATTTAGGAGAAAGAAATTTGTATTGTTAGGATTTGGTGAAATCGCCCTTTCAGCCTACCTTGAAGTTTCGCCTCTTGAAATTAAATGCTTATTCTTATCAAGTAAAGGGGTTTTGCCGTAGATTTATTGAATAATGCTGGACTTGTATTGCCACAAATTGCCAGGTTAGGCGGAGGGAAGCTGTCGTCAGGGCAACTGGAACTCGTCGCATGCGTAGAAGACCAGCTTCTTCAGCTGCCAGTACATCTTCAGCTGCTGCTGTAGAAGGTGCTTTCTCCTTTAATGCAAATTTACAATCCCTCATAAATCATTGGTGTATACTGTATAGGTTCTGCAAGAAACTTTGTATTGCTTCTCGATTTCCCTGCCTGCAACAATAATGCATATTCGCTTATAAATGAAAACAGAAAGTGTTGATGAAAGTGATGATGATGCATCTGGGGATGGATATTATGCTGCCAAGGCATCAAAGAAGAAGGAAAAGAAGCGTCAAGAGAGGGCAGCACAGAGACAGGCACCAATCCATTATTGGCCCCTTTATTATTATACTACGGAGTATTATTATTGTTATTATTATTATTTTATTATTATTATTATTATTATGCTTATTATTATTATCACCACCATCATCATTATCGTCATTCTTACTTCTACTATTACGCCACATAAAGTAGTATTGCAATGACTAGGGATGTCACCATTCACCTTATATGATCGATCAACCCCCCCCCCCCCCCCCCCCCCACCAAAGCTACAAGTATCTTAATCCCTTCTACATTTAATTTGTTAATATGTGTTTCAAGATGATTGATTGTAACACTATAGGACCATAGAACTGCAAAAATGATATGCTGGGTCAGTTGTTCTCCTTGTGCAACTATGCATTTAGCAACTGAATCTTGTTTGTTTTGTTCCCTGGTTGATTATCCAGGCTGAAGAAGCTTCTCGTGATTCAAGGCAGATTAAATCAAGCCGTTATGATGAAATAAGGAGGAAAAAGGAGGAGGAGCGTGAGGCTAAAGAGCATGCCTTAGTAAGTTGTCACAGGTTATATTCTGTACGATTTTATTATACTTTTGAGGTTACACCTTACAAGCCAACATATATTTAGGAAGAAGAAGTCAAAGCTCGCCAGGCAAAAGAGGAAGAAGCTGCTGCCCACGAGTTTGAAAAATGGAAGAGCGCATTTTCAGTTGATGCTGAAGGCACTACTGAAAGTGACATACAAGATGAAAGCCATGGCTTGCTTTATGATTTTGTTGAATACATTAAGGTATTTTTTTATAATCAACTTGCTTTTAAGGATGAGGGCTCATTCTTATGATCCTTCTAGTGTAAAACTAAAATTTGACTCATTGTATTCGTTTTACATACATAATTTACCATAGTACTTTGCATTTTCACCTTTTTAGCCTGCAAAAGCGAAGAACTGAAAGCAGAATAATAAATTGTTACCATCATACATCTGCACTTTAGAACCATATAAAGTAGTTCCTATGTCCCAAAAAGAGAATCCATTTATGTTAGAAGTTTTGGTTTTATGTATGGAGTAGCATGAAAGAGTAATAGAGCCTTTACCGAATTCATGGGATCACCCCAGATAGGCTGAGGTTAATTTTTAAATTTATCAATAATCACACCAAGTGAATCTACCCATTCATTTACTGACAGAGGAGCAAGCAAATTGATATTTAATACTACGTACTGTGTATTTGTTATTATAATTTTTTTCTGATGTTGCAGAAGCACAAATGTGTTCCACTGGAGGATCTTGCTGCAGAATTCAAATTGAGGACCCAGGTATAATTGTCTTCGCTCATGTTTAAAAATTGATTTTGTTTTTAAGTTAAGTATTTGGAAACTCACACTCTGTGCTTCAGTGGTCTTCTTTCATGTGATCTTAGTCAAGTGACATCACCCAATTCTGTTCTCCCGTGTATCATTTGCGGTGCTGTCTTTTCAAGCCTGTAATCTATGTTTTGCAGGAGTGTATCAACCGGATCAATTCACTGGAAGAGATGGGTACCGAGTTTCTTCCTCTTCGAAACTTACATATCTATTGTATCATGTCATGCATCTTACTCGCGCTTACTGCATGCTCAGCTTTAGCCATTCCCGTTTGGTGCATTAAACGAACATTTAACATAAACTTTATGGGATTGTATATTGAACTTAGTGTCATGAAATTATATCTTATATAAACTTCTAGCAATGAATGTGATGTTTTCGTGCATTGTATCCGTCATCTTTCCAATGACTTCAAGGATCTGTTTCAAGCCCCAGAAAGTACTAGGTGAAGATAATAGCAAGGAAAACATAGAGGAAAATAAGAAGGAATTGTGGGGACGGAGGGGGATAAAATGTAGGCTAAACCCCAAATATTTTACCGTAGAATTTCGTTGATACTCATTTTATATGGTCTAAGTCTAAATATTTGTAAATTTAAATAAAGAATAATGATGTTTGTGTAAAGATCCCACACCAGTCAAGTATGGGCTTCGTCGGTGGCTTATAAGCAAGGTGTTTCCTCCTCCTAATTGGCTGGTCTTTTGGGAGTGAGTTCTACACTTGGGCTTATGGTACTGGTATGGGTCTAGTATGGGCTAGGTTCATAACAATTGGTATCAAAGTTATTCCCATCTTCCTGGTCCTGACACTCGGAGTGGTGGCCTATGGAGTGGTGTCTTGGGCCCTGGGGGTGCCAACCGTGACCAACATAGTCGTGACCAACGAGGACGTTGGCTCTTCGAAGCGTGAGATATTGTAAAGATCCCACACCGGTCAAGTATGGGCTTGGCTGGTGGCTTATAAGCAAGGTGTTCCCTCTTCCTAATTGTCTGGTCTTTTGGGGGTGTGTTCTACACTCAAGCTTATGGCATGGGTATGAGCCTAGTATGGGCTAGGTTCGTAACAGTTTCCTATAATCCTATTCCTTATCATCTGTCAAGATTAACCCAAACTTAAGAAGTTTTTTCTCCTTTCCATAACATTCTCTGGGGTTCAAACATACACCGATAGTCCAGAGCTCATTAAACTAGTCAAGTATACTTTGTCCTTCCTAATATCTGTACTTGCAAGTGAAAATTGTTTAGACTTGATTTTTTATAAGACAAATGTGTAAAACTTATGGAGAAGCTGTTCATCTCACTAGGGAGGCTTTCGGGTGTTATGGATGATAGAGGGAAGTATATATACATCTCTATAGAAGAAATGAAAGCTGTGGCAGACTATATCAAACGTGAAGGTAGGGTTAGCATTTCACATCTTGCCAGCAAATCTAACCAGTTCATCGACTTGGAGCAAAAATCCCAGTTGGCCGAAGACACTGTCAGTTTTGGGGAGATAGCTGTTGCTTGATTCTCTGTAAGTACTTGCATAATTTCAGTGTTAATCGATGAACAATAGCGACACATGATTTTACGGTTGAGCCGTTGAGGGGACAAGTATATATAAATAATAGTATGTACTAACACATATATACTATAAAGCGTGCCAATAACTACTTGGAATTTCTTTGGGGGGGACTCTCTGCCTGTGCGTGTGTCGATGAGGTTTACACTCTCCATTTTCTTTACTTTTTCAAGTGATGAAAGATGATAAATTTCATGTTTGCTAAAAACACTTGAAATGATCCTACTTTAACATGTTTTTATTCACACAAGGTGGTGCATCTTTAATCTATTTTTGTTGATGCAGTTTTTCTAAAACTGAGTTTGATCAGGTAGCTGGTCGTTAGACATGTGTAAGAATCTTCTTATGTCTGTCCAATTATTTTTATAAAGAAAAAAGGAATAATTTTGTGTTTCATGCCAGCCAAGGATTCGTATTAAAAGATTATCATTGTATCATCATGTATTGAACTCTTGATTGCCACTGGAGTATTTGACTAATATGAAAGTGTATTTTCACGTCTGATTACATTTTACTTGAATACTTGAATACTGTTGTTTGTCACATACTATGTTATGTTATTTTTCTAAGAAGCTCAATGTAAATTCCTGATTAAAAAAATTCTTTCTAAGAGGCTTCTCATTTCCGCCGTTGGAGAAGAAAATTTTTCAATTCAATATACCAAACCATTAAACAACTTTATCCAAGTTGTTATGAGATATGTACTACTCCGTAAATAGTTACAACATCCATCCCAAATTAATAGTGATGAAGCTTTTGGGCTTGAAATAAAATACCTAAATTGTCATTTTCTTTTACCGTAGTAGTGAAAGGGCTAAAAGTTAAATAAAATTGGAATGATATAGTTGTAGATACAACTATACAAGTAAAAGGAAGCTATGTGTGCAAATCAATGCACCATTAGATCCAAAGTAGTCTTGACGCTATCTGGAACGTCCTCATAGATTACGCTATAGTTGTAGATACATGCAAACCTTTTTATTTGAGCTGAAACTTAATGCTTGGTCCAAAAGGTGGAATCTCCCATCCGACAGGATGGTAGGGGAGTTAATCACAGTGACTCAGTCAGCAAAGCGGTGATAAGCCTTATACACGTGCGCATCAGGGGTCCAGCCTTATTTCAGGTTGTGTAATTTCCGCACAGCTGCTGCGGGTTTCGAACCTTGGTCACTTGGTCCAATTTTCCCGCCACTCGATCAACTCAGCTACCCGTTATTTCAGGTTGTGTAACCTCCGCACAGCTGCTGCGGGTTTCGAACCTTGGTCACTTGGTCCAATTTTCCTGCCACTCGATCAACTCAGCTACCCGTGCGGGTAGCTGAAACTTAATGCTAAAGGTGTTTTAGATTGCTACGAAAAAGAACTCCAAATTCTTCCCCACTGCCAAAGGCAGGATATTTACTTTAAGATGATAGAACTCATAGAAGGTGATTGGTGGAACACTACAATACATGTGGAGACGATTAGACAAACCTTGCCAAGAATTACGCGCAATTCTTTTCTATGCAGTTTGGTGTGGAGGAGCTTAAATTATGGTTGCCTGCGAAGAGATTAAAAGGCAACTTATCGAGAAGAAGTACAAAGCCACCTTTGTGATGAGCTTCTCTTCATGTTTCTAGAAATCATGGTCTTCAAATATCTATGGATTTTTATGGTAAATCGACGACTTAATTTAATTGACGATTTGTCAAACGGCTTGCAATATAGTCTATGGATTATGCTTTCTAATGTTTTGTTACTCTTTTACGGTAATTTTATGTAGCTGTACTTAACAAATTGTTAACAAATTGGTGACTCCTTTAGAACCTCCTTGCAATTTTGAATGTCTGTCGCATCGAACCTGGACCTATTGAACCGCGGTGTGGGAGCCCGGAGGCGACGGTTTCATGACTTTCATCCCTGAAGTGCAAATATGCAATGATAAGTCTAACTACGATGATGTGTTGTAGACCTGTACAAACACGGTCTCGGGTCGGGTTTTATCTAAAACTTCTGCCCATTTATGTGGGCGGGTCCGGTCTGGCCCGGATCAAACGGGCGACCTCCCATGTTCAAGCCCGCCCATAGTAGCGGGCTGGATAGTCCACCGGGCCGCCTAGGGATGGACTAAACCGGCCCGGCCCGGTCCATTACTGTTTGGGCCCGGACCGGACCAGGACCGGTTGGCCGGTTCCGGGCTTTTAGCCCGTTTGGACGGGTCGGGCGGGCCGGGCTCGGGCCCAACTTTTGGTGAACCGGACCGGGCGGTTCGGGCAGGGCCCGATTCATTTTTTTTTTTCAATTTTTTTGCTTTTCTAGGTTAGGGTTGGGTGTTTTGGGGGGGGGTTGGGGTGGGGGTGAAGGGGGGGGGGGGTCGGGTGTTAATTAGAAACAAAAAAAGAAGTGAACTTGACCCGGGCCTGGCCCGGCCCGGTTAGGCCCGGACCCGGTATCAAACCGGGCCGGTTCCGGGCCCAACATTTTGCAAAAACGGCTCGCCCGGGCCTGGCCCGGAATCGGAACCGGAACCGGACCGGCCCGGCCCGGAAAAGTTTACCATTGTTTAAAATTGATGAAAAAGTTGATAGCATTTTTAAAATAACATCACACTATTTTAAAAGTAATTAATGAACAAACTAATATAATATGTCTTCATGATATACACAAACTATTTTGAACCGTTGATTTGCTCTACGTAGGGATGGCAACGGGGCGGTTCGGGGTCGGGTATACCATTACCCGTACCCGCCCCGTTTGATAATATTTTTCCCCGAAACCGCCCCGTTACCCGTCGGGTATTTTTTACCCGCGGGTAACGGTTTTCCCCGCGGGTAACCGTTTTATTAAAAGGTAATTTTTTTTTTCAAAAATAGTATAAATTCTAAAATGATGATTAACTAGTTATAATTGATCACCTAAATTAAAAAAATCAAAATTAAATAGCACCACTTGTTTTATTAAAAGATATTTTTTTTCTTCAAAATTAGTATGATGATTAACTACTTATAATTGACCACCTAAATTAAAAAAATCAAAATTAAATAGCATCACCGATAAAGTTTTTTAAAACATCATAAAAAATTACAATCTTTTGAACCTAATATTCACAAATTATATATGTGTAGATTCAAAATTATGAATCTCTTACCACATCAACATCAAGAGATTAAGTCTTGTCTCGATAGTAAAATCTAAATATGAATCACAAAAACATTTAACTTCCAAAAATTCAATAATCATACCCCACCAGCATTCAATATCTAAATTTAAGAGTAGTAATGTATACAAGTAACATAATGAAAATGAGAAGTTTTTTTCCTGAAATATTACTAATAAAAAATATATGGACATAAATGTGGCTATAAGTTATCATGGGTAATATTTATAGTCACTATGATATAACACTTGAATAAAATTATAAACACTAAAGTTACTAGAGTCGCATTTTTGTCCACGACTTTTATTTTGATTATAGATTTGGAATTATTTTTAAAAAATGTACTTCTAATACTGTGATTTAGGTATTCTCGTAGTTACTGTTTTAGAAACCTCATAATTTAAATTTAAAACTTGATATAAATTAGAGCAACCAATCAAATTAATCTAATCATCTAATACACCTCTACAAAATTATTAGCAATTACATAAATTAAAGCAATCTAGAGTAATGTTTCCCAATATTTGGACTTTAAACTCATATGTGAGCTTTATGAAAGTTATTGGGTGAAAAAAATAAGAGAGTCACAATGTGAAAATTGTGTACAGAAAATCATGGAAATCAAATAATCAATATGTGAAGAAAATAAATCTTGTAGAAGAAACAAAGGAAGGATGATGAATGAAGTTGAAAATTAAAAATCTAAAATAGTGAATTTTGAACATCAACTCATCAGAATTGCAAAGGATAGCTGATTAGTTGAATATTTTTCAAAAAAAATAGAGGGAATAAGTGTCATATACTAATGTACTACTATTATATATACTTAATACTCCATATATTAAATAATAAATACATAAACTATTAAAATATGTAAGTTAATTGTGCGGGTCGGGTAATGGTGCGGGTACCCGTATCCAAATTAAACGGGGCGGGTAACGGGGCGGGTAACGGGGCGGGTAACGGGGCGGGTAGGTATAAACCCATAACCGCCCCATTACCCGTTTACATAAATCGGGTATTCCCCGCCCCGTACCCGTTACCCGGTCAAAGCGGGTTTCCCCATTTTGACCGGTTCGGTTCGGTGCGGGTATCCATCGGGTCGGGTTAAATTGCCATCCCTATGCTCTAGTAATGTAGTACTCCCTCTGGATCTTTTTAAACTTCACAGTTTGACTTCACATTGATTAAGAAAATAAATTAGACTTTCCTGTAGAGTACACTGTTGAGACACTGTTTGACACTGTTGAGACTTGAGACACTGTTTCGCATTGTTGAGACACTGTTTGGCACTGTTTAACACTGTTTTTATGTAGATTTCTTTGCCAAATAGGGAAATAATGAAGTGTGAAGTTTATTTTGGACCACCCTAAAAAGGAAAGTGTGAAGTTTAAAAAGATCCGGAGGGAGTACGTTTTTTGTTTGGCCGCTGAACTGCTACTTTGTAACACCGCCCCCGAGTATTTGTACTGTACCAAATTATGTATTGAACCTTGAGAAATGTATAAAAGTATTTTTACGTGATTGTAAATTTTTATCATTTCTATTACGTGAATAGTAAAATTCACGTGGGGCCCACACCGGATGTGGGGCCGCCCAATATTATCGGGACCACATATTATATTAATCTTGGACTAGATAATATGTATATGGTGGTGGATATCCTAATTGGGCCATGACAATGGCACAAGGGTGACCGGTTGGTCAAACGGGCTAAATTATCGGTATCGGCAATTTATCAGATAACAGCCCAAAAAGGGATTCTGAGAACCTATAAATTAAAGTTGGGGATTTCATAATGATTCTAAGGCCCAATAAGGATTGGGAACGAGTGTTATATTTTATTTGACCCAATAAAATAAAATATACTTAAAACAGTCCGGAAAATACAACTTTCGGGACGGATTCTACACTTAGGGACATAAAGGGATGACCTCCCACATGAGTGGGGGCCACCCCACGGATTTTAGTGCTGCAGATGTCAAGGGAGCCGCACAAAGACAAGGGGGAGGGGAAAGAGAAGGGGTTGAGGGGAAAGGCATTAAATGGAGTAGGGCCTCCCACATGCCATGATTGTGAGAAATGCCAAGAAGGCATTCTCAATCATACCAACCCACCCCATTTCGTATCAGGCATCAACCAAGTGAGAGGAGCTCTGCAAATAAACCATTTTCATCCATCATACACGCACCAAGTTAAGGGAGGAAGAAGAAAGGGAAAAGAGAAGAGAAAAGAGGAGTTTAGGTGGGAAAACTTGTGTTTAACAAGGTAATGACTCCATTACTCCTATTTCTTGTTCTTCAATACTCTTTTATGATTATTCAATCATATTTCACACCCTAGTAATGTTCTACACGTTGGGATGTGTAGAAAGAGGGGTTGGAAGGTAGTTCTAAGTCCAAGAACGGACTTAGAAGCCAAAGTGACCGGTTCGCCGGAAAATAACCTTTTTGAGGTTATTTGTATTACTATGGGTTTTATGATGATAAAAACTTGTTAGTAACTTGTCTAAGGTATTCAAGGAACTTTCACGGAGTTGAAAAGGTCGCCGGAGTTGTCGCCGGAGTTCGTTGAAGTTCGCCGGAGTTTCGTCGGAGCTAAATCGGGGAGGCTAGAACTTCATAAGCTTCATTAAGGTGAGAAGACGGCTTTATGCTTTATAACTTTTGCGTGAGGCATGAGATTACCTAAAGTAATCAGGAATATGTTTTGTGGAATGATTAAAGATAACCAAGTGTGTGTTTATGCCATGATTATACACAAAACATAGTTAAAAAGCATGTTATGTAGGTTTGGTGATTAAAAATGTGATAACATATTTTGTGTGATGATCCAGGGATCCAAAATGGTATTTTTGGATCAAGGACATCAAGAAGTATATGTGTATAAAATTTCAAGTTAATCGGACTCCGTTTGGGGGGTCAAAAGGGGCGTTGACCGTCAAGTCAACTGCCATACCCGATCGGGTATTGACACATACCCGACCGGGTATTTGTTGAAAATCAGCTTTGTGGACTACTGTCTCCTGTACTCGACCGAGTATGGGTTAATACTCGATCGAGTATTGGGTGATGCTCAAAACGGGCAGTTTTGAGTAGGTTAACGTGGGCCGTTCGGGTGGGACCCGCCCACGTTGGATCCTAAGGATTGTTATATGACTATAGGGCTAGGAATTGTCCATAGTTAAAGGAATGAAAGGTTAGCCATATCCAGGTTAGGATTTGGTAGAGAATAGACTGGGGATTGAGTGCCCTTGGACGGTAAATGATCCAGAATACTCCAGGTGGGGTCGAGTACCCTTGGACGGTAAATGATCCAGAATACTCCAGGTGGGGTCGAGTACCCTTGGACGGTAAATGATCCAGAATACTCCAGGTGGGGTCGAGTACCCTTGGACGGTAAATGATCCAGAATACTCCAAGTGGGGTCGAGTACCCTTGGGCGGTAAATGATCCAGAATACTCCAGGTGGGGTCGAGTACCCTTGGACGGTAAATGATCCAGAATACTCCAGGTGGGGCCGAGTACCCTTGGACGGTAAATGATCTTAAATACTCCAGGATGGGTTGAGTGCCTTGGACGGTAAATGATCCTAAAACACTCGGTAGTATGAATCGAAGGTAGACTATAGCTTGTGAGCTAGGTAACCGGGAAAGGAGTGAGAAAAGTCAGGCAAGAACTTTATCTCTAAAAGACCCTTTAAGGTAAATGACCTACGGGTTGAGTATTTTACGAGTATATATACAGTATGTATCATCGGGTGGATGAGGGACATCTATATGTATATATCACCCTATTTTTGGGTCTCGTGTCTGAAACATTAGTTATTCTTCATATAGTCTGCTTGTCACTAGTACTTCTATGGAGTACTGACCCCTCCGGGGGCCCTCACATTTTTCAGGTTGAGGCTAGAGTCCTACTACCTGCACCTTTGCCTAGGGTGACTGATCGAGAAGGAAGACGTGGTTCGTGCTTCCATTCTTATTTCAAATGTATAAACCGCTCATGGATTTTTGAACAATATTTTCATTAAAACAGTTGGGGGCCTGCGTGCCCGTGTTTGCCATGTGTGGCTAAGTATCAAACATTTTATTATTTTCCGCATTTGATTGTTTATGATATTGATGTTGATTGTATGTGTTTACTAATCGGTTTGGCAATAGAATAAATCGGACGCCTTGTACAACTCAATAGGGATGAACTGTTGTTGTTCTTATCGGGTTGTATGGCGGTTGTCTACGTGGCTCGGATGCGGTCTGGGGCGTGACATACTTTGCCGATCAAATGGGAGTAAGGTTAATTAAATCTTCTTTGGGGCCATCAATATGATGGGTAACAGCATGTAGGGTTCACTAATGTGAAATAAGGAATAGATAATACGAAGTACTCCATAACTAATAGGGTTCATTGTGTATATATACGTACGAGTATATGTATGTGTATATACGTGTGTGTGTATATATATATATATATATATATATATATATATATATATATATATATATATATATATATATATATATATACACGTATATATATACGTATATATACGTATATATCTATATATATATATACGTATATATATATATATCTATATACGTATATATATATATCTATATGTATGTATATATATATATATATATATATATATATATATATATATATATATATATATATATATATATATATACGTATATATATATATATATACACACACATATGTATGTGTATATACGTATGTATATATGTGTATATACATATGTATATATGTGTATATACATATAGATATATACATATGTATATGTATACATATATACATATGTATGTATACATATATACATATGTACATATACATATATATATATGTACATATATATATGTACATATATATATATATGTACATATGTATATGTACATATGTACATATACATATGTACATATGTATATATACATATGTATATATATATATATATATATACATATGTATATGTATAGATATGTATAGATATGTATATGTATAGATATGTATACATATGTATACATATACATATGTACATATATATGTACATATGTGTGTGTGTGTGTGTGTGTGTATATATATATATATATATGTATATATAATAAGGATCAAATGAGAAGAGTGTTTATCGTAAGAAGTGAGAATGCATCCGGTGCGTTCATTTTAAGATCTGTGCATTAGATTAGCAAAAAAGTGCACGGGAAAGTGCAAAAAATATTAAAAAAAGTGATGCTAGACGCGGTGGCATTTCCGTAATTAATCGGAACTTTTCTGCCATCGCAAAAAGTGCATAAGATTAGCAAAAAAGTTCATCAGAAATAGATAAATGTGTAACTTCTCACTTCTCACGCTAAGATGTCTTCTCATTAGAACCCGACCCTATATATATATATATATATATATATATATATATATATATATATATATATATAGACAAATGTTCAGGTCCGGAATTCTGGACCAGAACCGCCTTCCGGCCGACGACATTTGGGACCCTTCCCGGTGGCTTTTTTCGATGAAATTTTTATGGCATGTTATTCATAAAGTCTAGTTTATCCACACAAATATTCAGCTAAAAACTCAATTCGGAAGGTCGTCAAATGATTTTTGGAAGTTAACTGCGTTTTATATGTATTTTTTGCGCAGTTAACTTTAAAAAATCATTTGATGACCTTCCTGATTGAGTTTTTAGTTGAATGCTTTTGTGGATAAACTAGACTTGATGAATAACATGCCATAAAAAATTCATCAAAAAAATCCACCGGAAAGGGCCCCAAAAGCCGTCGTCCGGACGGCAGTTCCGGTCAGGAAGGCCTGAACGGAACACTACTCTCTCTCTCTCTCTCTCTCTCTCTCTCTCTCTCTCTCTCTATATATATATATATATATATATATATATATATATATATATTAAATATATATATATATTAAATTAATACTAGTAATATGTACTACATAGATAGTATATTATTAATTTTCCGGGTACGCCTTTTTGACCCGAACGGGCCTACAATTAACAATATAACCCAAACCCGCTCATATTTTTTACGGGCTGGGGTCGGGCCGGCCCGGTGGGATATTATACATGTCCAAACACACCCATTTATATGGTCGGGCTGGGCGGGCCTGCCCGTGTTTAAACAGGTCTAATGTGTTGTGGTGGATGGGCCCACATAAAAAACAGGATAAGCAAAGAGGTCAAAAACGACGGGTTGCTGGCTTTGGCTACTTTAGATAGAAATAGGGTCAACTTTTCGCATTCATTTATTTGATTTACATGAAATGTGTTTTCCTTGGTTAAAAAATACTTGAATTAGCACTACTTGCATTTATACGTCGGAAAATAGAGCCCTTTTGGAACCTTCAATCTAGTTTACATACCTCATCCACGTAAAAATTCTGACACTCTTCCATTTAATTTCATCCACTCTATTATTATTTATGGATGTATTTTCATCTAGTCACTATCCTTTTAAATTATGAATTATTATGAATATATCACTAACCAATATCTCCTTACCATTTAAGGTAATCCATTGAAAAATAGATTACTATATTTTGGAATTTTTATCCGTAATAGATAAAAAGTTGCAATGATTTTGAAAGATAACAATATTCAGAAATACCATATTAAATAAAGTTCTCTAACAAAGTTACAGTGAATTCAAATATAAAAGTTCTTTTGATATTAAACTTGAGGCACAATGAATTTAATATCTGACTTTTTAATGCCCCATTTGATAAGCATAATATGCAAAACCCTTTTTAAATATTCTAACATTAATACACATAATATATTCATGTAGAACTTCAGCATTTGACCAATTTCTCTAACAAGATTAATGTACCAAACTTGAAATACATAATTTGTAAAAATAATATAGGTGGTAGATGTTTTATCATGAAATAAATTGATATCTTTTTAATTAGTTCTGATAAACAAATACTTTTGCTTTGATCTACCAATAGCCTTTGAGGGTGCTTTTATTAAGAAAGCTGAGTTATTTTTATCACGTTGTGTAAATTTTAGATGTAACACTTTTAAATGTCTGGTTATATACGTATATGTAATGAAAATGCATTTTATTTTTAAATAAAAATGTACAAAGTAGAGCGACCATACATTGAATTTAATTTGAAAGTCGTACTTATAAAAACTAAAAGGATAAATATTGTAATTTTTGAAAACTCAGATTTCAGTTAAACTATAAATTCAAAATACATGTGTAGGTATGTGTTGTGTGTGCGGAATGATCCTACATGTTAGGTAAGGTGCAAGGTCATTCCTTTTATGTGCACGTCACAAGCAAATACACGGGAATGACCAAGAAAAGTATAAACTGCTTTAAAGGGGCTGTAATTCTGTAAATAAAGAGATCAAGAAGAAAGAGGGTCAGAGATTAAAAAGCAAAGCGCATATGCTTTGCAACACTAATGAAGAAATCTTAAAGGTAACCACAAAGAAAGGCCAAATGATTCACCCCCAGCACTTGTAAGTTATAACCTCTCCTACAAATTCCATTCATCAGATCAACCCAAGGATCCAAAAATAGCAAATATAATGTCTTGGAGATGTAGGGCAAATGTATATATGTTGAGGTCACTCTGTGTATTGCTCCTGATACAGGAAGGCATTGCTCATACTTTCAACGTCACAGAATGGGGTACTCAGAACCATCATAATTATAGTGAATGGGCGAGCAGAAATAGGTTTCAAATTGGAGACACCATTGGTAAATTAACTCTTTCTCCATCTTAGAAGTTGCACTTCATTTCTCTCTCATTATAGATGTCTCACTCGTATAGTAGTAATAAGTGTTGAACATGTATTCGTGCCACCAACTGACCAAAGATTAAAACTATTTAAACTGATTTCTTACTTTTTTGGAAACGCAGTGTTCCACCCACCTAACAATGACTCAGTCCTTATGGTAACGAAAGAGCAATACAAAGAGTGCAATAAAACTTATTCGGAGGAACACAGGGATGGGAACACCACGTTCAAACTCAACCACTCCGGGTACTTCTACTTCATGAGCAGCAACCGTGACAGGTGCAACAAGAACGAAAAAATGGAAGTCATCGTCATGGCTGACAGAAGACATCACTCTTCTGCGCCTTCCCCTTCACCATTGGCACACAAGGTTAGTCCATCTCCAGCACCAGACAGGAAGGTGTCTCCTCCTCCACCAACTGAGGAGGCACCGTCTACATCCCCATCAGGGTCAGAAGCACCAATGCCTTCACCTGCTGATTCACCACCATATGTGCCATCTCAAGAGTCTATTCCTCCAAAGAATAGTTCATCTTCCATTACTCAAGGTTGCATTAGCTTGGTTGGAGCTCTTATTGCTTCTTCGATCTTCCTATCATGTTGATGTTACTATTTACACAAGGGATATAAGTAGCGGAAGGTCTACACAGGGTATTATTTGTTAAGATTTGGCATTCTTCTCTCTCAAAGAACCAACCTTGTGACATGAGTAACCCAAGAGCTTGTGTGTGTGGCTCTGTATTTAATATTTTTTCCGAAACATTATAGTATTATTCAATACATATATTCTTTTTTAATGTCAAAATCCAGTTAGATGAAAAACAGAAATCCGATATCAGCAGTTATGATTCATATGCTACGTTTACGTTTGGTCTACGAACAATATATATAGATTAAATTAAATGAAATAACTTAGGTGAAGTACTTATCAAAAATTCTTTCCTAATTCAACTTTTTTCACCATTCTCATAGTATTGTGCAAAATGGAATCCAATATGCCAGCCACCTGCAAAATTTGAAAACAATAAATAAACTGTATATCAAGTCCATAAAGAAGGGTGTATAAATTGCGAGAGGAGAGGACTGGGACTCGGTAAAAACTGACCGTAAAAACGCCTCCAATAATGGCACAGACATTGGTAAGAAAGTGTGAAAACGAATTTACGTTTTCTGTTATGAGGACCTGATCACAAAAGATAGGCATTAATTTATTAATATTTTTACAAACCAAAAAAAGAGTAATTATACACGCAAACACGTCAACGGCTTGTATAATTGTAAAACCTGCAATGGCGATGGCTCAAAATGAAACTTAGCGACTGGTATATAAAGACTATGAACCAAACTACTATGAGCTGTGTACTCATAGTCCTCGACTAGTTTATAGGATCTTGTCATCACCTCTGTTTTCACAACTTGAATGTAATGCTCAATCTGCAAATAACTTGGTCCATAATATGTAACAAAGCTTCACAATTCCTAGAATCTAATTGGTATGTTTGGATCACGAAAAATACCATGGAAAGGGAGAAATGTCAAGGAAAGTTTTTATGTTCACCTTTTCCTCATAAAATGCACAAGGAAAATGAAATGTGGTTACTTGTTGAAATGGTCACATGTTCAGATATATTAGTCTTTATATGATGGAAATAAGTAAATAAATAAAATGAGTTTGAACAAAGATCTAAAATGATATTATCTAGTTTTGAGAGGACTATTACCTCTCTAAAATGTTGTTTCCTTCCCATTTCCCTCTATTGTCATCTATATATTTTTTCCTTGCTTTTTTTGGGGTTCCAAACGGACCTTACTAGTTGAGGAAAAAGTAACTAGAGAGAAGTAATATAGACATGAGTTCAACAAAAAGATTGTGATTCTATTGATCTTTTGAAACATTAGCGCACGTTAAACAGAGATTCTGCAGGAGAGAAAAATGGCATTATGTGGGAAGGAGAAAATTCACTTCAATGCCAAGGGAATGTTTGGATCACAGTATATGCTAAGGGTAAAAAATATCATGGAACATCATTTTCTTGTGTTTAGTTTCACAATGGAAATTGTGAAGAAAAATGAACATGATTATTATCCTTAACTTACATATATTTAGTTCTTAGGGTAAGTTTCGTTCATTTAAAGGAATATTTATGGGAATGGGAATAACAATGGATATGGATCTATGCCCAAAATTGGAAAATCAAACCCATAGTGAGGTAACTATCAAGCATAATGTATCCTTTCATTCCCACTCCTCATTCCCCAAACTTCCCTACCAACCACTTCCTCAGTCTTTATACAATTTATATAGCTAAATTTCAACAAATATCTAGAGAAAAAAAGGGAAAAGTACGCAAAAGGCGCCTCTGGTTGGGCCAGTTTTAAGATACAGGCATGTGTTTCATTATTTAACAAAGTAGACCATGTGTTTAAACTCCGCTATCACAGGAGAGTCTACGCCATTAGAAATCGTTCGAGGAAGACGATGAAAAATACTAGTAGGTGCGCCTCATCAAGGGCGACCTTCGGCCTCTTTCTTTTTGTTTCCAGCCACCCTTGTCGCCGGAAAGTCCACCGCAAAAGTGATATTAGTGAATTCGGTTTTATAAAATAATCCAAACATATCCGGAAAATCCAAAGAGGAAGGTGGGTTGGAGGTCTCCTTGACGAGGCCCACCTCCCAGTATTTTTCTTGTAATTTTTCGGGAACTTTTGAAAATCGGAGTTAGTGTTCATCGTCTTCCTAGGGCGATTTCTAACAGTGTCGGGCGTCGGGGCCCCTCCTATGATAACGTAATTTAAACACATGACCTACTTAGTTAAAAAATGAAACACAGGTTCTATCTGAAAACAGGCCCAACCTCAAGTACTTTTTTCATACTTTTCCCAAAAACAAATATGTAACATAAATATATTGAGGTTTAGCACTTTAGCCTATCGGTAACAGTCCTACCCCCCACATTTTCTTTCCTTTCAATATTCGTCTAGGTTATTCTTCCTGTTGTCTTTCCGTAGTATTCCCCACGGTCCTAATGGACCCCACAAATCTAGTAGTTGTAATGGTTTAGGTCATTTAGCCCACCGACCACTCTATTTATTTAACCCACTTTACCAAGAATGTAAAGTAGCATGCATTGGCATCATTATACTTAATAACCCACTTAAAGAGAAGTATGTTGGGTATAAAAAACATAAAAGCCCCCCTGCGGGGATCAATGCTGTAAAAATGCAGAAAAGGGAACATGTAAAATAATAAGCAAATTCTGAAACCCTAGATTTGCCAGTGATTGGTTTAACAAAAGTAGAACGCTTACCGTAACATTTTCACTGGACTCCTTTGGATTGGTAATGTATGCATTGCCACTCAACTTGTCATAGCTTTGACCTAGGTATGGTATTAACCTCTTCACATCACTTGCTACCCGTGGGGTTAACATCTTACCAAAGGAAAAACGGGAGATCACATGTGACATGTTCATCTGGGAAGCATCAAATGAATGAGCTGCTGAACGAGCTGATATGACAAGGTTTCCTGGAACCTGCAGGTTAGGAATTAAACCATGTGATTAATATGTTGAATGTGTTGAGGTGTTTTAAACCACTAATTGTGCATTTAATGTATCTTTTGATCCTCGAAAAAGCTAGGAATGGACACATTAAGGAAAGTTATTTTCTTGTGTTGGGTTTTACTAGAGAAATGCAGAGGAAAAAGAAATATGATTAATGTTTTGAAAATTTTGTATTCCCTCTGTCCCATTTCAAGGTTCCCATACACTATTCACACAGTCAACTTAACACTATTTAAATCTTTAATTGTATATAACAAGTTTAGCCGTTTTCTATTTTTTTGTGATTTAGTAGAACTTCTAGCATAGTTTCGGGATATGTAAACTTTAATTATTAAAAATAATCATACTTTATAAGGGAACGGTTTACTTTATCATCAGTCAGCCAGTGTAAACCGCACAGAAAACCTTGATATAGGACAATGAGTATATGTTCAGATATATCACATGTTAAATAAAATGATATACTTCCTCCGTTCTTTAATTCTTGCAATATTGTGATTTTTGCACTATTCACAAACCTTACTTTGACCACGATTTTCTACCAATATACATAATCAAATTAAAATTATTACGTATGAAGTGTTACTGAATTCCTATCAATGTGAATTTCCAAAATATCAACCTTTTATAATGTTTACTAATACATAATTAAATATAATTACAGTCAAAGTTGTGTGTTGGCAAACGTGAAAGTCAAACTGTTGCAAGAATCAAAGAACGGAGGATAGTATTTAGAATTTTAAATATTATCACATGTTAGTCTTTATTTAATAGATTAATAGAAATAGCTAAATAAAATGAGTTTTAACAAATCTCAAAAATATACTTATTAATTCTATTGGGTTTGAGGAAATGCTTTATTTTCCCTGACTTTTATTTCCTTCCAATTTCCCTTATTAAACTTTTCTCTCTATTTTCTTCCCCTTGTATTTCCTAGTATCAAACGGACCCCTCCCTCCCCCTACCTCCTTCCCTCCCTCTACCTCCTCAAAGCTGCACAATGCAGCTCATGTCTTCATACTTATCTTCAAGTCTCTCCAAACAATCAGACAGATAGAGGTCAGTAGGCCACAGCTTCTTCTTCAAAAAAAAACAAAGAATGCCCTAATTAAATTCTTTACCTTCTTAACACGCACAAAACCTTCAAGTCTGCATCCCCCTGTTGCTGGTGCAGGTCGTTTTGTACCTTCTGTCACATTAACAGACTTACTGTCTGAAGACTTCGACTCCAACGAAATAGGTGCAACCAGTTCTTCCATTGTCTGCAGGCATGAAGCTATTTCGTGTCAGGGGTAGGTAATGGACTCCAGAATATTAAGGTGATGTAAACCATCAATCATGTGTAGAAATGTTTCATAAGTGTGCAGTATGCTACTATGTTATGCATTGATATGGACAGTGTGATGAACGTCATTGAAGGAGACCCATTTGATTAGTCTGGTTTCTTCCTACAATTCATGTGGTTGGTCCTTGTCATCATTTCGTTTTTTTCTATGTTTAATTACTTCATTGCAATAATCTAATTGGTCCATGTGGACAAGGTACGGTACCCTCACTTTGGAGTGGGGGCCCTAGCAACCAAATATTGCAATTAAGTAACCTAAACAAAAATAAACAACACAGAATTTTTTAGTAGAAGAATTGCACATACTGTCACCAGGCTGTTCGTATCTCGGTCTCCATAGTAAGACTCGTGATTATGGTGTCCATGGTCATCTCTGTATTATAGATTATAAGAAATGCAAAAATCATCAGAAGTATTCCAATAAAAACCCCGAAATCATAGTGTCAACTTATAGTGTCATAGCATAACTTTATAGTGGAGTTCAATTTAAGAAAGTGTTCATATTTTTAAGAAGAAAAGTGCACCTTACAAAATGGGATGGAGGGAGTATATAATTTAAAAATATATATCATTTTCATTTCATTTTCATTTACCCCAGTGCCGCAAAGGCTCCCACCTACGGTGGGGTAAGGGGGGATCGGATGTACGCAGCCTTACCCCTGTACTAAAGCACAGAGAGTCTGAATACACAGCTCAAAATATACCGGAAATCTCAGAAGAATAAATGACGTCACAGTATGCGGACTAGATCGCAGTCTAAACAATTTCCGTGGGGCTAGTTTATTTTAATGTTTTTATTTTTAAATCTCATGTATGCCTTTTTCCATTCTGTTTTTCCTTTCTACATCTCTTTGTAATCCTTTTCTATTCAATAAAATCTTTCCTTTTCCAAAAAAAATTACTACTAACAAATTTTCTTTAAAATAATATAAACATTCATCTACATGATACAAAACTGATATTTCTAAAAGATGCTTGAAATACAAATGACAGTAAAATATTTACCTAATATCACTTCCCTTTCTGAAGATTCGAATAGATGGATAACCTTGTATGTGATTTCTGAACAAAAATCACTATTAGTTAGTAAGATGATATAGATGTAGTAATCTATTGAAACACAAAATCCAACTATATAAGCACGGAAATGGATGTAAATGCACAAAAAACTTGTTCCGAATACTACTTCACTGTGTGAAAGGTTTCCCAGTAACAAGTTATGAAAAACAAAATAATGCTTGATTCAGAATTACCTTCTGCATAAATCAATTTCTTCAGTACAATCAACCTTTCCCAAAAGAATCCGCCCATCCATTTCTGGATCATATCTAAAAGGACAAAAGAAATATGCATCTAAGATCTGAAAGGAAAAAAGTATCAAGGAAATGCTAGAGCTCCATTTCAGAGGAGAACTTTTTTTCTAGTTTCATTGTAAAAAAATCCTATTATATTTGACATGTTTAGCAGAAAGGGCAGGAAAAAAAAGACCTTTCTTTCAAAATACTGGCTGCTTTCTCCCAAGAAGGTTTCTGATATTTATGACACAAGCAGGAAAAAGTTGTTAGTTAGACCTCAGTTTCATTCAGATTAAGAATGCTCATTATGTGATACAAGTATATGATGAATAAGTGAATAATTGATAGACTAGCCTGTCTAACTGTTCAAGGAGAGGAAGGGTTAGAGCAAGCAAACAAGTAATGAAATCTGAAGCATGAGTAAAAAGTGATGAGATTACCAATCTATTACTCCAATAGCACCAAGGAGCATAAAAGTTCACAGCCAAAATTGGATACCTGTATTTTAGAAAGAAAAAAAGGTCAAAGGGTGACAAGGATTTGGTACAATGCTTCACAGAAGAAAAACATGAATGAGATAAGATCCACTCACTGGTGTGATACTCTATCAAAGTTACGTCCAGTTAGTGTTACTGAACCTTCAGCATGCTCTTCATCTACTTCATCATCATGCTTAATAGCATTTTCAATTGCTCCAGATTGAAATTCAGACCCAGTAGGCCTCAAATTTGAATCTATAGCATATTTTCGCACTGTTTTTGTAATATTCAACCTATTCTGGTATAAGGAAACGGCTCAGGTATGTCAGGCTCATAATTCATTCTTAGATTATTAAGAAAAACTCAAAGCTTTAACAAAGAAAAGATTCACTGTCGATCTACATAAGAATCAAAAGGAAATAATTTGTGCTTCCAACAGCCCACCACGGAAATAATTTTTTAGCACACTCAGTAATTTTATTCTGTGATATTTTGGTAGGCAACTAGTTTAGTAGCATGTTTATGTTAGAATCTCCATCACACATTTATTTTAAAAAACTAACAATACTTGAGATTGACAAGGATTTAAGAGAACTTACTGTTCCAAGGACATCACTCACGTCAACAGATGCAAATTCACAAGACAACGCAGGAAAACTGAAATTTATAAAATAGCATTGACATATTAATGCACTTTATCATATACAAATGGATTGCATCATTTGACAACTCTAATTTACACCTTGTTGTCAATCTAAAGCAGTGTAGAGCATGGGAACATCTAGAGAAGATGAAAGTCAAACATAAATATTTGAGGTGTTTTGGAATTATGATTAGGAACTTCCATAAGAAGTCCATTTAACTCATAACAAAAATAGAGACAAATAAATGTTTTAAATAGACACTAAGAACACTGAATTGCATTCAATAGGTAAAAGTTCAGCACAAATAGAAAAAAGCAGCTACATAAATTGTACCTAATGTTAAAATCAATTCGTAAAAAGTCCCCATCAGCACTCCTGTCAACAACTACAGATGTTGTAGTGCTCACAGCCAGGTAATGATGTAGTTCCTGGAATTGAGACATAAATGAGTTGATATTGTATCCAGGTAAACAGTATTACCTGTGAGAATGAAAAGAAACATCAATCTCCTACCATTCCAAATAAAAGGATCATGCAAAAGGCTGCAATAAGGGATAGCCCGGCACCTGATAGTGATGCCTCCGTCAGATCTCTTGGAATTTTCCTATATATAAAAGGAGAGAGTGACAGAAATTAGCAAGCTTTGGACTTGCTTTGACCTTGAACTTGTCTTTTCAAGAATTAAGCGTATTCATATCACAAGTAAGAGACTGGGGTAGTTGGGTGTGGACAACCTATTTCCATGCACTGGATGTACCAGATCACTCCAGATCTTGCATCTGGTTTGAATGCTTATCCTTTAATGACCCCCCTCAGAATCAGTATACAATAGTATCTACTTTTCTGGCGTTAACCAGCTAAAGTAGATCAATTGTTTTTATTGTAAAAACGTGGGTTATTTGAACAAAAACACTTGGCATGTCTTATATCTTGGTAATGTTCAGCAGTACTGGTTACTTACACCACTTCGTGGTTTAGCATTTTGGGTAAAGAACTCTACTGCTGTGCAACTGGAAATGCATCAGCAACCCTAAACTAAAAAATCTATACATCTTATTTAGCATTTCATAGTTATATAAGCATATCGAATAGAAATCCCACAATCATTTGCTGGAAAAACTGCTGAACAAAAACCAATGACTAAATGTAAAACTGTAAAAGAAATGCGTCAAAACAAAACATAGCACAGAAAAAAACAGACGCCAGATATTTACGAAAAAGTGGAAGGTCGGCATATAATATAATCTAAGTATGAAAACACAGTCAAATGAAATCTAACCTGTAAAAATCAACAGATTTCAATTTACTCGTTGAAATCGGCATTGTGGTGGAACACAAATAAGTAATTAAAGACAGACTCTCTAGCCCTGCTAATTCTCAGCTAAATGCTGTTTTGGTTTCTGGGGCGAGTGCATTCGCTCGGTGTGTTTTGACGAAGGCAAATTAGGCAATAGAGTTTAAATATGAATAAATTAAATTTTATAAGGAAATCATTTATCTCGAGATAAGCAAAACATACCAACTTATATGGAGTATATAATGATAATAATGACCGGAGTATGACCGCACGGGTAGCTCAGTTGATTGAGTGACGGGATTTTGAATCCTGGTTCGAGTCCCCGCAGCGACCGTGTGGAGGATATATCCTCTGAAATGGGTTGTATCTCTGGCATGCACGACGCATATGAGCCTACTGTTGCTCCACCGACTGAATACCGTGATTTACATCCTCTCACGTGCCATGTCGGGTCGGGATGTGGGGGGCTCCGGGTTGGGAGATTCCACCTTTTTTGGATCAATAATGAGAGGAGTATTGATTTGAAATAGTTGACACAAATATTATTTATGAGTTTAATTGCACAAATAGAGTGTTATAGTGCTATGTTCCCCAATTGAGTTCTCAATTCCATTTCTCTAGTCAAATTTCAGAAAATTTGACCACTAATTATTCAGAATTTAAGTTGATTAGGCACACAAAGTTAATTTTATATACTTCGTTTCAATATTATTATTCAAATGTTAATTCATTATAGGTTTTATGAGTTTGGTTCTTGGGATGATGTCAAAATAGGCACACTAAAAATGAGTTATGAACAAAAAAATGACTTTTTTTTATTTCCAAAAATGAGACTAAAAAGATGTCAAGGGTCAACAAACTATTATACTCTTATATTAATATAATATACAACAATCTCATTTACTAGTGCTACAGTGACACTGCGATGACCAAAAGTCTATTAGTGACCAATAATTTGTACCAAAAATCCATCACTGACCCGTCTCGCTAGTGACTTGACGTTGCCAGTTGTAGTTATCTGATCCGCCAGATACAGTTACTCGACCCGCCAGTTACAGCTATCTGACCAATCATACTTACCTGACCCGACCAATTACAATTACCCTGACCTGCCAAACGTCAATTACAATTACCCGATCAGGCCAATTACAATTACCTACCTCGATCAGTTACAGTTATCAGCCACCGACTACAATTACACTAGTACAAAAAAAGGCTTTTCACATCGGTCAAACAACCGATGTGGTTCCAGCCCATGTGAAAAGTAAAGACTTTTCACATCGGTTCTATAACCGATGTGAAAAGTCTTTCTACATCGGTCGTGTAGTACCCGATTTTGAAAAGTATTAACATAGCCGCTCCATAGCACATATAACATCGGCTTAGACCGATGTGAAATAATCTACATCAGATTTTTAATAATGGATATGGAAAGTGCTTGAATTATGTCGCTGCATATCATATACTACATGGGGTGTGACCGATGTGGAAGAGATTCCACATCAGTTTTACAAATAACCGATGTAAAATTCCAATTTTTTAATAATAAAAAAAATCTAGCGCCTATTACTTTTATAATCATATATGGAGTACATCATATGAAGTTTTATTGTACTGATTTTTTCCGTACAAATTTAAACTGTCTTGTAGTTGGATAATATTTGGCGAACCATTCCTATATATAATAGATATCACATAAATGCCATGTAATGACAGAAGAAATACATACACAAGTAATCAATTAACTTTCTAACATCAACTAAATGCTCTAGTAAAGACATTTGTTCCTACTAAACGTTATAACAAGTACACAGGTTGCCTTCATAAACAAGTACTCAGTACTTCAATATCAAATAGATTCCAATCTGTGCTAGCATGTTGCAAGTAAATACAAGTTAACTCATATTTGTCACCCATTAATATAAATGTCATCCAAGAGTTTTGCAACTTTTTCCTTGTGAACAAAATTTTTCTTTGCGCAAGTTCCTGCACAAGGGCATAAAAAGTACTCACGTAATTAGAGTGGAAACTGGAAAGGTGAGTAGAGCATAAAAAAATAATACATAGAAGTAAAAAGTTTCTAGAAGGAAATGACAAAACTTATTTAACCCTTCACTTGTCCACAAATAGGAGAACATAAAATTCTGTTTCATAACAAAAACGTGACATGAAGGGAATAAAAGCTACAAAACCTCATGTCCAGTAGTACTCTAACTTGTAATGTCTCGACAATAGCAATACTGTAGTTTTTAATGTCACTGCAACCAGGCATCACCTATGACCTGACAATGCCAATAAGTTTGTATAGAACAAGTTAATGTCAATTTCATTTATGTGCAATGGCGCTACTATGCATTTCTGAAAAAAGAAAATAACAGCTGAATTTCCTAGAACAAAATTATATTCAAAGACTGTGTGTGTTGGCGGATCTATGGAAATTCATCCCTGACTTGATAGTTTTCCAAGGCTTGCTGCCACCACTTGTGAACACTTTCTTCCTAAACACATCACTAAAGATGTTTAATAAGTAGATTCATCTCATATTGAAAAATCATAGAAGAGTAGTAACAACTAACCTTTGTGAATATGAGACACCAGATTCATTTTCTTCTTTGAGGTACTCTTTCTGTCACGCCCCGAACCGCATCCGAGCCACATAGACAACCGCCGTACAACCCGATAAGAACCACAACAGTTCATCCCTATTGAGTTGTACAAGGCGTCCGATTGATTCTATTGCCAAACCGATTAGTAAACACATACAATCAACATCAGTATCATAATCAAACAAATGCGGAAATAATAAAATGTTTGATACTTAGCCACACGTGGTAAACACGGGCACGCAGGCCCCAACTGTCTTAATGAAAATATTGTTCAAAAATCCATGAGCAGTTTATACATTTGAAATAAGAATGGAAGCATGAACCACGTCTTCCTTCTCGATCGATCACCCTAGGCAAAGGTGCAGGTAGTAGGACTCTAGCCTCAACCTGAAAAATGTGAGGGGCCCCGGAGGGGTCAGTACTCCATAGAAGTACTAGTGACAAGCAGGCTATATGAAGAATAACTAATGTTTCAGACACGAGACCCGAAAATAGGGTGATACATATATATAGATGTCTCTCATCCACCCGATGATACATACTGTATATATACTCGTAAAATACTCAACCCATAGGTCATTTACCTTAAAGAGTCTTTTAGAGATAAAGTTCTTACCTGACTTTTCTCACTCCTTTCCCGGTTACCTAGCTCACCAGCTACATTCTACATTCATAATATCCTACCGAGTTTTGGGAGCATTTAGCATCCCGGGGATACTCAACCCCAACCGAGTTTCATGATCATTTAATGTCCCGGGGATACTCAACCCCAACTGAGTTTCAGGATCATTTGCAGTCCCGGGGTCATTTATAGTCCCGGGGATGCTCAACCCCAACCGAGTTTCAGGATCATTTAATGTCCCGGGGATGCTCAACCCCAACCGAGTTTCAGAATCATTTATAGTCCCGGGGATGCTCAACCCCAACCGAGTTTCAGGATCATTTAATGTCCCGGGGATACTCAACCCCAAACTAAATCCTTACCAAACCCTAACCTGGATATGGCTAACCTTTCGTTCCTTCAACTATGCACAATACCTAGCCCTATAGTCATATAACCATCCTTAGGAACCAATGTGGGCGAGTCCCACCTGAACGGCCCACATTAACCCGCTCAAAACTGCCCGTTTTGAGCATAAACCAATACTCGATCGAGTATCTACCCATACTTGGTCGAGTACAGGAGGCGGTAGCCCCCAAAGCAAATTTTCAATGTATACTCGATCGAGTATCTACCCATACTCGATCGGGTATAGGAGACAGTAGCCCCCTGGGAAATTCTTCAGCAAATACCCGGTCGGGTATGTGTCAATACCCGGTCGGGTATGGCAGTTGACTTGGCGGTCAACGCCCCTTTTGACCACCCAAACGGAGTCCGATTAGCTTGAAATTTTATACACATATACTTCTTGATGTCCTTGATCCAAAAATACCATTTTGGATCCCTGGATCATCACACAAAATATGTTATCACATTTTAAATCACCAAACCTACATAACATGCTTTTCAACTATGTTTTATGCAAAATCATGGCATAAGCAAATACTTGATTATCTTTAATCATTCCACAAAACATATCCTTGATTACTTTAGGTTATCTCATGCCTCACGCAAAAGTTATAAAGCATAAAGCCGTCTTCTCACCTTAATGAAGCTTATGAAGTTCTAGCCTTCCCGATTTAGCTCCGGTGAAACTCCGACGAACTTCAACGAACTCCGGCGACAACTACGGCGACTCTTTCAACTCCGTGAAAGTTCCTTGAATACCTTAGACAAGTTACGAACAATGTTTTATCATCATAAAACCCATAGTAATACAAATAACCTCAAAAGGTTATTTTCCGGCGAACCGGACACTTTGGCTTCTAAGTCCATTCTTGGGCTTAGAACCACCTTCCAACCCTTCATTCTACACTTCCAAACGTGTAGAAAAATCCTAGGGTGTGAAATATGATTGAATAATCATATAAGATGATTAAAGAAAACGAAATGGGGTTAATGGAGTCCTTACCTTGCTAAACACGAGTTTTCCTCTCTAAAACCAACTTTTCTCCTCTTTTCCCCTCCTTCTTCCTCCTTTGTTCTTGGTGCGTGTATGGATGAGGAAATGGAGTAGTTTCAGAGTTTCTCTCCCTTCCTTGGATGATTGAGCCGAGCATATGGGGTGTGGGGGTGATTGAGGATGCCATTTTGGCATTTCTCACCAAATCATATGGCAAAGGTCCCACCCTCATATTGATTGGTCTCTCAATCACTTTCCTAGCCAATTCTCAGCTCCATGATGCGGCTCCCCTTGATATTTTCCAGACCAAGGACGTGGGTTGGCCCCCACTTATGTGGGAGGTCAACCCTTTGTGTACCCGAGTGTGCAGTCGGTCCCGAAAGTTGTATTTTCCGGACTGTTTTAAGTATATTTTATTTTATCGGGTCAAATAAAATATAACACTTGTTGCCCATCCTTATTGGACCTTAGAATCAATATGATTCCCCAACTTTAATTTAGAAATCCCCGGAATCCCTTTTTGGGCTGTTATCTGATAAATTTGCCGATACCGATAATTTGGCCCTGTTTGACTAACC